CTTGCAAAAAAATCACATGATTCCACAAGCTGGAGCTTCACGGGGGGGGGGAAAAATAAATATAAAAATTCAGCTCCAGGAGCAGATGTCACCCAACCACGAGGAGCCCCATGGGATAGCAAATCACATGCAAATAAACTGAGATTTGCATCAAAAGCCGTGAGAAACCCCGGAGTAACCCACCCCAGCGAAAGGATATTAAAAGAGTGCTTCAGGACCAGTCACCCTCTGTTATGGGTCACGGAGAGGTGCAGAAGGGGGTCAGATTGTCCCACAATTGGGGTCCCACGCCATAAAATAAACAAGAAGCTGGGGTCTGAGCCTGTCTTGGTCAATTCTACCTCCTGTACTTTTCCCTGGGGTCAAAAAATCTTTCTTCCTCTGTCCTGAGCTGTACCTGAAACTAAGCAGCATGTTCCAGCCAGATAAGTAATTACCATGAGTTCATATCATTTATTTTTAATGAGGCCGGTCAGAACCTTCATTTACCATTTTGATTCATTTCCCTATGTTCGGCGTGTCCTGATATTTCAATTATTGATCGCCTATAACCACTCCTGCACTGCAAGCATCTCCTGTACCCAATGTAGACGGCGAGATGCTTCACAAACAAAACCCGTAGCTTTTTTTTCCTTAAAATTAGCAGGTTTTTAGGGGAGGTATTAGGACCACAAAGGGCTGGATCCTGCAGGAAGCGGGAGGATCGGGGCTCAGGGTGCACTTGTATTTGCTTGTTTCCGCCCACTACTTCAAGTGCATCAACAATTCCTTCCCGGCAGCAAAATAAAGACGCGAGCTGGTACTTTTAAGGTAATTCTGACATCCGCGCTATGAATAGAGCACATGGAAATGGGCCCTCGCCGCTTGGGTCCCTGCAGAGGAACCCGTGAAAAACCCCGGTACGGAGAGCGGCATGAGGTGATGCCCTCGGCGGCACCGGTTGATGGTGCTTCATCCAAAACCAGTTCAGGCAAGGGGGTTGTGTCCCCTCTTTTGGACAGGCAGATCCCCCCTGCAGCACCCCTGGTCCATCCCTTCCCAAATCAGCCCTTTTTACACTGGTGATGGGTCTGCTTTTGCAAAATATTTCCTGTTTTTTTCACCTCCTCAATGCTCCAGAGCCATTTGGTTGGTAGCTCCAGGGAGGTGGTGCCACCGCTTCCCTCTCCTCGGCTCTCACAAAAAGCACGAAAATCTCCCATCCTGGGCCAAGAAAACCCACTTGCCTACTCAGCCGGTGCTAACAATGAAAACACTAATTATATTGCACTCACCTATCAAAGGGATGATTCATTTAGGTGAGTGGGCACGGAGGATTACACAAGACGAGCACCATGATGGTAGCCCTCACAAGGAGGCCTGGAGCACATGGGCACCCGGGATGGGGCAAGGTGGTGGCAGCAGGAGGGACACCATGGACATCTCCAGTTTGGGGGACCTCTTTGAGTCATGCCTCAAGGGCTGGAGACCCCAGAGAGGGGCTGGTCCCCTTCCCTGGGTCTCGGATCCCAGATGGGGAGAGGTGGAGGGAGGAGAAAACCAGTTTTGGCAGGGATGGGATGGACAAAAGTAGAGTTGGGGGCTTCCTTCATCCACCCCCACGACCATGGTTTTGGCAGTTAAACCCAAACCCAATGCACAGCCCTTGGATTTCCATGTCAAGCCCATGGTTACAACCCAAAACTCAACATCCCTGAGTATTCCCAAAGGCTGAGATGCCTCCTGACCTCCAGACCTGCCCAGGAGGGGGTCTCCAAAAGAAAAAGGCCTCCCAAACCCTGCTCCAGAGGGGTTCACCAGTACCGGTGCTGGTCCATGCGGATGCAGCCCCTTCCACCTCAAGCAAAGGTGCAATCCTGCTCATATCTGGGCTAATTAGGCCCAGCAAACGAGCAGTGCAACTCCACAGGAGGGAATCAACCCTCGGCAGCCTGCTTTATGTAATATCAGGGTGCTTCTGTGGGGGGGAGCAGGGATTTTGGGCAGGAGGATAAGGACATGGCAGCAGTATCGTGGTTTGGGGGGTGTGCAGGACCACGTGGCAGGGAGATTTGGCAAAGCAAGGGTCGCAAAGGGAGCAGCGAGGCCAAATTTGGGCTCCGCGTGGTAGCGACAGAGGGGTACCCGCCCGGCTCCGGGGGCAGCCCCCGCGCGTGTGGGGCTGCGAGCGGAGGGGCGAAGCGGCGTGGGGTGTGGGGGTGGGAGAGGCGTGTGTGCACAGCGATGAGCGCGTCCGCGTGGGAGGTGTTGAGCTCTGCAAGCTGCGCGTGGGGGAAGCGTGCGCGCGTGTGGCAGGCGTGAGCACCCGGTATTTTGGGTGGGACATGCACCCACACACACACACACACACACACACACACACACATAGGGGTCCCGGGATGGGGAAGGGGTAGCGGCGTGGCTGCTGAGGCCACCGCGTGCCATAGCCTACGTCCAAAACCCAGCGCATCGCCGCGTGCACCTCCGCCGCCAGCGCCGCCCCGCAAAATAGCGCTCC